TATATATATAGGATGACTAAGACAATTCAACATGGTGAATGTCCCCAATATGAAATCTAAGAAGTCCGGATGTCCTTCCGAGCCGACTAGATCCCTCTTAACATACCACACATGGCAGGTATATCTCCTAAAATTATCTTTAGAGAGTTTAAGAAAATCAGGCTGTCCTCAAGATTGTCAGAAGAGCAAAATCGGGCCAAAGATCTGCAGAATTATCTTGCCATAATAATAATCAACAAAACAAAAACATAAAAACACTAAATTATGTTTTACTTAAACTGTTCACAAAACATATATACCAATAAATGAAGGTTAAAAATAACCTGACAATTTTTTCTTTATAAAAGCATTTTTGGACAGAGGTTCTTGCACTTTTTGTCGTCCACTGCGTTTGACATTTTGGTAGGTAAAAGTCAAAGTGATCTTCTCTGAACTCAGTTGTTTTGGAAGATGCTCTCAGCAGGCGGTCACACACATTCAGACAGAGAATGGTTATGAAGCAACCTCTGAACACCTAGCTTTCTCTCTGCCAACCCACCTGCAGCTGATGTTGAGGTTATTCTCATAAGATATATATGTACAAACTGGTTATCTTTGCCCCTCGAGTCACACTTAAGATTGTTAGCCATTTTGGCTTCACCCGTGTCCATGGATTCAGCCAGGTTCTGTTCAAGAATTGCATTAAAACAGGCTGTTTTCATCAGCCTCTACCCCCAAACGTTGTGCTGCGTCCAGGTCCTACATTTCCCCTCCCAAGCCTTTCTATCTCTCACACACGTCCCCTTTTGCGCTTGTTTTCTTGTCCTTGTATTTTTAATCCCTTGATTTCTCAAAGTTTATGCCAAAGTTTCCCACAGTGTTGAAGCTTTACTATTGTTCCTTGCTTGTAAGTCACATCAGATAAAAGCATCTGCTAAATGAGTCAATACCAATTTCATGTAGAAAATCATATTTTTGGAAGTATTCATGGAGATTTCTAGCTGCGTATTTTTTTAAACCAACACAGGTCTCCTGGTCTCAGTCACGCACATTAAAATGTTGACTGAATTGCTTTTTCAAAAATTATTATTTCCTCTATTGGCTGTTGGGTGACAAGTAATTATACCCTTCAGTAACATCCTCTGCTCTTGCATCCCAGAAAGACATTAGTCACTCTAATCTTCACATAAAGGCAGATTCGACATACGTGCACAGGCACAAACACACAGTCATGCTTTCATTACTCACCTGGACCGTGACATTAACCTTACACTGATCTCAAACCAAGTCTTAATAAAAAGAAAATGAAATGATTTACATTTTAAGAACTTTTGAAATTAAGACACAMCCCCTCAGTGTATAATCAGATTTGACCCCACACAACATGAGCAATATTACAACAAAGCCATTTTTAGGCCTGACACATTCACATGCATTCCTTCAACATGTATTGTATAATAAGAAGCTATTCTGTATCATCAGAATATATTTAACCTGAGAGCAAAAAGCCACGCACTCATTCATCATCCCCTTCTCCATGCATGTAGACACACACACATTTTCTCTCCATCACCTATTTCTCTCATACTAAGAGGTCACTGTCTGTGTGTGGTAGATAATAATGAGTTATGGCTTTCTGTACACACACACACACACACACACACACACACACACACACACACACACACACACACACACACAGACAATAAATTCAGAAGCACAATTCTATGACTTTGTGATTGTCTGCGTGTCTGTGGGAGTGTGTAATCTGCTGATGTCAAGTGTTCATTTGAAAGACCATAAAGATAGATATCTCCCCATTACCTTCTTAATCGCATGACCTTTAAAAAGTCCGTCAAAATAGATTTGTATTTTCCCCCAAAACCCTTTGAGATGGCGACAATATCACAAGATGGGAGGGTATTTTAATACTGAATATGGATTTCAAATCTTCTGCTCTGTAATACTCCAAATTGCGTCTACAGTGTGAACAACCAACTTACCCCGTTCTGACGCGATTGTTTTATTGAACTCTGCGTGAAATTGGACTCTTCTCCTGCAGCCTGGAAATGAGTTCCTTTTTTAGGAAAAAAATGTCAAACTTCAGTGTTTAGGAATGAAACACATCTTCAAACTTTGAAGACCCAAGCAGTGAAAATTGGGATGTGACCCTCTCTCTCTCTTTTTTTTTTGGAGTCGAGAGGACTCTTCTAGACAGTTAATGTGATGCACGCTCACTACATGACCAAACTTTATCGACCCTTTCATTATGCAGGGGTCCTTGGAATGTAGAACAACTTTTTGACTTGACAATGAATAATAAGCAATGAGGTCAACAAACACTGCTAATAAAGCTGCTGAACCCACTTGTAATAAATTTCTGAAGGAATGCCTGTCGCCTGTTGCCTTTCATGCCAGACTTTTCAACAATACAATCATCATTATGTGAAGGAACTCAATTGTTGTGGTT